GTGTAACCGAGACTGTGCAGCACAAAGGCTGACGTCACCAAGGTGTAACCCCGTGGGTTTCAGGCCACTTCGCCCTGCGTTAGGCTGCCCTAACTGCCTAGGAGGGACCGAGGGAGGATGGGGGACCTGTCAGGCCTTGGCAGCAGGCAGTTGGCTTTAAGACCCTTCCCAGGGCTTTTTGTGGGGTGAGAATTCGGCACCCACTAACTCTGCGTGCTCCCCCAGGCATCCGTCTAGGAGCATTTTGTGTCAGATAACTGCTTTCTGGTGAGGATTTGCTCCAGGAAAAATAATGTCCCTTTTCAGCTGTAAGCAGCCAACAGAAGGTGACACACGTACGCACGGTTCAGCCCTGCTCTGCTGCAGTTGCTGACGTTGTGCAGGAGGGTTTGGACCTCATGGTGGGAGTCAGACGAGGTGCTTGTGCCTTCCTGACTGGGGGCTGCAGGTTAAGTAACTTCGAAGAACTTAACCTAAAATCTGGGGAAAGAAAATCCAATTCACCCCTTTTTACTCTGAACTAAGTTCCTTTCATTTCTGGACTGGCAAGAAAACAGCTTTAAGTTTGAAACGGGAAGCTGTGGTGGAATGAAACCGTGTAAGGGCGCTCTGATCTAAGGGCTACAGAGGAAGCCGTTGGAGAATGGAAATTGTGAGACACAGCCTGAATAACTTTAATTATATTTTCTGTCCTCTAACACTGACTGAATCTATTTCCTTGCAAACAGGCTGTATTTGGGTCAGGAGAACGCCTCTCAATCTCGGGAGACAATGCCTCTCTTTTATGTAAACCTTCTTTAGCTCAACTCACATGCGTTCCCTGGCTTCTGTCGCTTAGGAAACACGCTTCCAGGTCTGCAAAACCCCCCGATACGCTTGTGAGCACGTCCTTCTTCTGGCAGTTATTTGTTGCCCTATCTACAAAAGCTTAGACCCATGGTGCTTTCTGGAAGCCTGACTTCCCTAGACTCCTTTCATGTGAGGATGCCCTATTTTACCAGCGATGAGCACAATGAATCCTCAGTATTAAGACCTTGGGGCTGCTTGCTCAGGCTCAGTACAATGAACAGAGCATAAACTAACATCAAACTGCAAGGATCAAAAGTTGTGAGCACGGCAGAGAAGCTTTGGGAAGAGATGCAAGCGTCGTAAGAGAATTGATCCAGTGCTTTGTAACACATGGAAAGGGACTGTCGGGGTGCTGTGCAGTAAGCAAAGCGAGGGAGGAGCAGATAACAAGGTCACTGTCTACACACAGACGGTCCCTGTCCTTTTCCCACCGCAGGCAGATGGTCTATGTCCAGGCTGCGATGAGAGATCCCCCCCGGAGCAGCCAGACGTGGGGTGCTTTGTGTCCTCCTTCTGCCCAGGGATCTCCCTCGGGCACAGGCAGCACATGTGCCTGGCAGCTCATAGCAGGACCAAAGCTTCACAGTTACTTAAGTTATGTAAAAGCTCTGAGCTTAAAATGTTTCTGGGTGTACCTGCCACCGGGCCCCAGTTGATATAATTACAAGCCAGTGATACTTGCCAGTGATTTTGCCTTCTGGAGCTTATTAGATCCACGACCTGCTCTCTTTCTTTCCTCAGCTGCCTGCCGGCTAAGGTCTGGGGTCTCCCCTCCTCCTTTTTTTCTCCTGCAGAGTAGAACAGAATAGTATTAAGAAGCGCTGTGGAGTTGGTTCCCTGGGGTTGAGAAAAAGAAAATCCCGTATGATATTGCTACCCGAAAAGACGTGGTTGAAGATAACATCTTTTATCTTGGACCTGGAGCAGACCAAGAGCGCACAACCAGGTACCGTGGCTCAGAGGAGGTTGGTAACTTGCTGGGTTTTAGGTTATGATAAGTTTATAGCACTCAAACACATGTCCTTGGCTTGAGACTTACTGATTTAAGCTAAATCCACATAACATGTTACAGCAGCTTAGGGGCATTCACAGCAAGGCAAGTTTAGCTACATCAATTTAAGAGTTTTCAGTGAAGTCCGTGTAACTTATGACAGAAATAAGGCTTGGGGACTGCCCCTCCAACAAGTTAGTTGTTCACTGTTTTTATAGCCAAATACTTCTTCTTGTAGATGTATATAAATTAAAGCCAATACAACTGGCAGAACAGGAATATTCCAGAGTGTGAAAAATAAGTGAAGTACACTGGAATGTGGCCAGTTGTCATGTTTCTTCGATATCAGGAGTAAAATCCATACTATGTGGAGGTTTTTGTTAAGCACTCAGGTAGGTTCATGAACACGTGCTCTGAAGGTGTTCGTTCCCTTTCCACGTTCAAATCCTGCAACACGGAATTAGTGAATTTAAAGCAGCAGCTCTGTGTGCTCGCTGAGTGTCTCCCAGCTCTGTCACCAGCCTCTCTGGGCTCCTGGAAGGCACGCTGAAAAGCACAGTATGAATGCAACATCGTGAAGGTAAAGGCTGGAAACAGACTCTAAAAGCAACATTTATCCTATAAAGGATCAGAGACACGTGGCGCAACAGGCACGTCCTCAAAAGCAGCCAACGCCAGCACGTATCTGGTATTCGCTCGGCCCAGACCAGCTGCAGATCAAGAGCTATAAAGACAAATCAGACGTTATTTCAAATAGCAAATTGAGGAAAACTGCAATCTGCTTATAAACACTTCACTAACAGTCAAGAGAGATAATTCAATCCTAAACATTATTATGGGGAATGGAGTGGTCATCTTGGTGGACTGGGCAGCGTTGGGTTTATGGTTGGACTCGATGACCTTCAGGGTCTTTTCCAACTTAAATGATTCCATGACCTTTAGACAGAGTGCAGACCTGCCCCTGTGGTCGTAAATTAAGAGATTAACCTCTACAGCTGTACTGTAGTGTCTGTGCTCATGGTGTCAGAGCATCCCCCTGCAGCAGGTCACCACCATGATCTCACTGCAAGGTCAGGAAAATGTGAGCAGGGAGGATGAGCTTCTCCAGGCTGCAAAGGAAAAGGGCATCAGAGCCGAGATGAGGACGGCAGGTCTCTCACTCCCAGTGCTGAACTCGGTGTTTCTCACCCCGTTCTCTTGTCCCTTAAGGAACATTTTTAATTCCCTATCAGGCAGAGGCTACTGGGCTGGCTATTCAGAAGGATGAAAAGCAAGAGACAAGCGTTTGGATTCGGAAGGACAGCGAAACACCATGCCCTTCTCACGCAAGCGAGCCCCTTTTTGTCAGAAACTGGGCCCAGGCTGCTGACAGAACAATTACTGAAAGTAATTATTTTCTCATTGGGTAAACACTCCAGTACAATATGCAACTGTTTTTTAGAGCCGCCCGATGCCCATAAATTATCTAACTGAATTAGTGCTGGCTTCCAGAAGCCGGAGCTGGTTGCAGCAGGGGCGGGAGGCGGGGGAAGGAGCTTGCATTTTGGCTGAGCTGCTGTCATGAGGAGTAGCAGGGCTCTTTCTTGAGGCAGAAGGACACAATCTTGGCGGGGGTCCAGCGCTAGGCTGGAATCGGAATTCATTATTCTTGATAAAGTGGGAGGCGAATCGTTTGATTTATTGGCACCGAGCAGCACAAACACCAGATGCCTTCCAGCAGAACTGCACACGCATGGTCTGAAAGAAATGCCCCTCCTGGTCCTTTCGAGGCAGATCAGAGTCCCGGAGAAAATTTGCTAACTTGCTTCCACGCTTCAGATAAAAATCTTTCCCTTCACCTTTGCCGTATTGCTCAGTGCCCAAAGAGACAAATCCATCCTCTCTGGGCTCTGTTTGGTTTGTGTGTAAACAAAAAACTACCTGGACAATTTAGGCAGAAAAGAAACCAGACCGACCAGGCATCATCCGCGTGATAAATGGCGCACGTACACGCAGCAACACCGAAAGTTTGAAAACCCAGCTATCATTCTGCCGAGGGGTTTTGATAACCCCTTGCAGGCAATTTGTAATTCAACCCCTGGCTGTATCTCTTCTCTATCGCCTCACCACTCCCTCGGCTATGCATCTGATCGTTGCTATTCTTAATTTCACCGCTCAGTGACTGCGAAGCTTTTCCCACGCTACCTCATCTAAACCAAATAACTTCTCGGTGAGCATACTCGGGGATCTCTGTCCCGTCTCCTTCATGCTGCAGTGATGTTTGTCACTGAGGCTCTTGGGTGCCATTTAGTTTTTATAGCGCAAGCTCGTGCCTTTGTGAGCAAGCAGCCGAAAAAATCCATCAGCGAAAGAAAACAGTCACGTCTCAATTATCACCCACATTGCGAATAAAGACCATTCTGCCATTTTTTGGGCACTACCCAGCTGTTGCACAGGGCTATGGTTCTTCTCCCCAGCAACATGAAGCACTGGCACTGTGCAGCTCTATAGAGATCTATTTATTTGTTTTTCAAAGGTAAATACCCAATTATAGCCTTATAGCCCAAAGTATATGTGTTATGTTACCTCTTTTAGGACTCCCTTCATCTCCGCTCCCCTGCATAGCTGAGAATTGACTGTAGCCTGTTACGCTTCCCATGTTTCACTCTTTTTGGCTAAACAAGGCTAAATTCTCTGCTCTGAATTCACAGCAGTGCAGTTGGGAGGGAGCATGTAGCTAATGACTCCTCTCAAAAGGCCAACACAGAAACAGATGACAGCTCTGCCATTTAAATGACAGTATTTCAGCTGCAGCGTGGACACCCTGATATGATGAGCAGGAGAGTTGTCACCTCTCTTGGGACCAGAACGCAAGTGTAGAGGCAGGTCCAGCTCAGAGGAGGTTTTAACCAGGTCCAAGAGCTAGGAAAAGCTTTTTTTTTTTTTTTTTGTTACTTCTTAAATTCTGCAAAATTTAGATTAACTTTGATTCAAAGAAGTAGCCAGTGACTAGTCTCACACGTTGCTTTGATGATGGCGTCAGGTATTTCTTTGATGTAATCTGGTTTATTCACAAAGAATTTTCTACAAGTCCGGTTTTCCTCAGCACAGCAGAGCTCAAACGGAAAGAATGGTTTGTTGACTCCCAGCTTTCCAGTCAACCTGCTGGCCTACAAGTGCTCTCTCTAGTCCTTCTCCCTCAGCCATCGCTTTGGCTTCCTGCTGCTTTTCGGCAAGATCTGCTGCATCTTCTCACACATGGTCATGACCTCAAGAAAAGACTCGTTCCTCTCTCTATGCAGTCAGACAGCAGCAAAACCCATTTCCTCTCCCAGACTGCCTTTGCAAAGCTCTGGATTTGGGGAAATCACTCCTATTGTTTTAGGAATCTCACTTTACATAGATTTCATTACTTCTGACATTCGTTTTACATGAAGAGTAGTTGTTATGCCCTTGAGCTCCAAGAATTCATTTAATCCGAAGAATAACTATACCTAACGCAGCCTGGGGGGTCAGAGATTTTTATCATGGTTCTCTGTTCTGCTTTACAACCCTTTACACTGGTCAGGCAGGGTCTGCCTGAGCCTGTAGGCTGCAAGGAGGTAGATCACCTTGCATAGCATTCCTATGAGACTTGTAGCTCAACTAGACGAGACACTCACAGCTGGCTGAGCGTGGCCTTCATCAGCCATCCAAAACAATGCTTGGCATCACAGAGGGGCACTCTGGCCGCTTTGCCATTGTGCCACCGTTGATAAGCCACCTCCCCACCCAAGCCACCCATTAGTGGCCACCTCCCCCGAAAGCCTGCCCTTGAGGAACGGTCGAGCGTCCAAGCTGGTGTCTCACTGCTCCTGCTGCAGGTAGGGAGCCAGGTGAAGTGCTGAAGACCCGCACCCAAGGCAGCCGCCTAGAAGCAGAGGACGCAATATGGAGCCTTAGTGGGAGGACTTCTGGGAAGGGGCTGCAGTAGGGGACTCGGCCAGCAATGCACCCACGGAAAAGCAGCGCCGGAAGATCAGCATGTGAGTGGGAAGCTGGGTCAGCACCTGAAACGGCACACCTATGCTGCTGAATAATCGTTACAGATGAGACTACACACCAGCAATTACTTTCAGCTTAAGTGATATTAAAGGGAGAGCCTTGATAAACAGGCAAATCTTACAGAATTCATTTCTCTCCTTGCAATAATCCTCTATAATTACGGATAAATGCCAGATTTGCTAGAACACTCGGCATTAAAATAGTCTCCATTGCACAAATGGATAGAGGCTTAAATCTCACTTAGGAGAAGAAAGCAGTCGGTGTGTTTACTGTATCATTAGCAGCTCGGCATCGTGTGCATCCGGTTGTCAGCTGCACCTACAGCTCAATGCTGGAACAAGCGACTTTTAATGTCTTCAAACAACGCTTGTCCCACCTTTGGCCCTGGGTGATGGCCAGCATAAGGGAACCCTAAACTTCACAGAAACCTTTGGGAGCCACTACACAGAACCATTTAGCACAGCTGAAAAATAATAGCAGGACATCTCTTTGCAACAAGAGGCATTTTGTCAAAATATTTAGTTAAAAGCCTCAAAGAACGCTACCCAAAATGGTGCTAGCGTTTGGAAACGTACCGCAGAAAGAGGGTGAGGTGGAAACTGGGAAGCTCTTTGAAGTAGCGCGGTCTCCTAGGACTAGGGGACGCGGATTAAAAAATGATTCATAAAAGGCTTTTGCTCAGACACTGGGAACTTTGTGGAACACCCCGGAGGAGTGGTGGGTCCGGCAAAGTTAATCACATTGAGAAAGAGCCTACGTGAGCGCACGGCTGCTTAGCCAAGTAATCACTCGGCTGGGGTAATTCCTGGGTTGATTGTTCCTGTGCACAGGGCTAATCTCAGCTCTATCCCTTATTTACTTAAAAGTACAGTCTGGATACTCTCATTGTGGCTCAATTGGTTCCCAAGGTTTTTGTTGGCACAGCGAAGAGGAATCTCCTCCTCTCTGCCCATTCGGTTGGGTGAGAGTCTGTGCGGTCCTTTTCACAGGGACTCGCCCAGGAGCTAGGCAATGGTCAAGCTAACCCATCACCTGTTCACCAGGCTCAGATTAACGATAGTATTACCAGTTCCACAAGTTACTGCTCATCAGCTGAGTTGAGGTAACTGCTGTGAGCCCATGAACAAGGAGAGGTCATCCTAAACAGCCACTTAAATGATAAATAGGCCAAACACTGCACACACTACCGCAGCCTCCTTGCTATTGCTCGTGCTGATGCTTGTTAATGCACAGAAATTTGACCACAGATCTAAGGTTCTGAAAATATCTGGTGCCAGATGTGTCAAAGGAAAACATGGGGCAGTCCTAACACAAGTCGACTTGTAAAACTATACTTCGGGGCAGAAATGCCTTTCTTTTGCCAGCTGCTGACCAGATAATCCTAGGAGCCCAAGAACTGATGGATCTAGGCAGTCTCTGTTGGGCAGTGTAAAAAATTAGGTAATTAGTACTATTAAAACGCTTGTCCTGATTCTTCCCGTTACAGCCCTGAAACACCCCCAGGAGTTACAGCCTATTTTACAGGCAGCCACTAACCAAGCTGTGCCCATGCTCTGCGCTGACAGGACACAAAGTAGTGCAGCTGCAACTACAACTGGACCAAGAAAACCCAACGGAACAGCAAAGTGGGTTTGCAAGCAGGTTGCTGAATTAGAAGGCTTCCAGGCAGCTTGGAGCGCAGGCAGAGTGAGCTTCCAAAGGACACATACATACGCTCTGTGGTAGAAAAGGCAAAAGGGAAGAGACCAAGCTCTTACGCCTGCCTAGCCTGCTCGATGGGATCGTAGTTGTCGAGGTAGTTGAATCGGATGGTGTCTGTAGGATGCCTGTCTGATGAACGCCACGGCGGGAGCTCTTTTTTCGCCTTGTTTGTCCTCCTGCCTGGCACAGAAAGTTTTGCCTCTGGGACATTGCTTCTTACCGGTTGCACATCAATAACTACAAACTCATCCTTTGAAGGAGTCTAATAAGAGAGAAGAAAAGAAGAAAATAAATTTTAGCTTATAATGAAAGTGCGATCTATTTAACTTTAGATTTCTAAGAATTGGGTATTAACTCAAAATTAGTCTCTCCAGGCTCCATTGCGGTCACTGGACAGAAATAGGCACCCCGCTAGTGCATGTCATCACCCATGTCCCAAAATCTGTATTAAGATGAGCTGAGCTGCTTTTGAGATGCATTGGCTTTGCTCTGTTGACTACAGAGAAAGTCTGTGGGGGAGTTTGGTTAAAATTAGAGGGCAGAGTTTTGAATTCAGGGCAGAAGAATCCCACCCTCACAGCCCTGGAAACCAGGTATGGCATCAGTGAATCTCAGGAGAAAGCACTGGCTACTGAGTAATGCTCCACCTCCCCAAAATGGCCCTGCTGCCTTTGAAGAAGAGAGAAAGAGGCAACACCAAGGGCTAGAACGGGCACAACAGGTGCTTTTTTCCTTTCCACCACGTAAACTGACTCTGAAATGTCAGCGGGGGTGATGGTGGGTATCCCAGCTCTGCCTGTCAGATGGAGGCGAGCTATCATATGCTCTATAAGCTGGGGAAAAAGAGAGGGGAGCAGCCTTGAGTGCTGGAGAGGGAAATCTAGCAGATTGCTCCAGAACACCCTCGAGACATAGCAGAGTGAGGCCTTGGTGATTGCTTCTCCTAACCAGTGAGATTTTCACTTCCCCCCTACCAGGGATGGACGATGGGAAAGTAGAGCGCATGGCAACACGTGAGTTTAGAGTCTACTTTAAAAGGATGTATCTTCCATTTTACTAGTGGGAGATTACGGAAAGGTAAAGAGGCAAAGCAGTTCGGAACCCGACCAGCCCAGTTTTCCCACTGGCCCCGAACATCTCTAGAGGTGGTTGGTACATACCTTTGGTCTCGTGACCTGCAGCTCTTTCACCATCTCAATATAATGTTTCTTCCAGATTCCTTGCTCAAAGGGGGTTGGAGAGAAGTTGATGTACCAGCCAAAACGCAGGCATTTCAGCATCCAGAGCTGATCCAGTTCAGACAGGTACTTCCAGTACCAGCTCACCTGTGAATGCCCAGTAAGTTGAAAACACTGGGGTTTCAAGCATCCAAGCTCGCAGCTAGAGACTTCCCCTGTGTCCTTAAACTAGTACAATTCTTCAGCACAGTTTATGCTCCATTTAAACCTTTCATTAAACCATTTAAACCACTCAAAGTCTTCATGACATGCTCAGAGCCTAAGTGTTAGCTGATCTCCAGTACAGGGTGAAATATTCCACAAAATCAAAGGCCAAGCAGAAAGATTTCAGCTTGTTTGGGGCAACTTCCCGCATTTCTTCTCAATCAGCACACAGGAGTTGGAATAAACCCTTTGTTTCCACTGAGAAAACCGCATCAATAAACTCCCCAAGTCTGATAAGACTCATTCTGAATGTTTTCTCCCTACTCATGTTCTGCTGTTATACCCATCACACAGTCACCTTGCACGAGATGCTTGTGCCCACTTAGGGCCAAACATCATCTCTTGGCACCGCCATGCTTGTCAGAGCAGCTGACAACGATATGACATGAGTAGCAGTGTAAAGACCTTTCTTTCTAAGTAATTTCTTTCCTAACCGGTCTTCTCCCTGCCTGTGAATGGACAGTGTGAGTTACATCCACATAAACCATGAAATGCTGGAGAAAGATCCTAGAGCAAGCTTTAAACAAGCTGAGATTTTGATATATATGTAGTATTACATAGACTACTATGTCAGGGCAGTAATAATGCCACCAATATCTGAACTTACTCATTCAGAGCTACTTTGGGCATCACCTCACAGCGCTTTATCTCATGAAAACATGTTTTCGGAGTCACTGTGCTCAGAAGACTGAAGCCCTAGCCACTGTGCTCAAAAGCACATCTGTAACTTCTCTGCTTCTCCACATCCAACACTTTACCTCAAGCATCTGGTTTTCTTAAAGCATCATGTGCAGTTCATCACACCTAGCACAAGCCAATACTTTTCAAAGGAATTAATGATTCTGCCCAGTGCAAGGTACATTAAAAGAACACGAGTTGCCGAAAGTACTAGGCCTCCTTCTCGGGAAGAGTCAGCCTTGTGAAGTGCCACATTTTAAATGCCTTTGAGCTGAGCATCTAAAATTACTCTTCACTTTGGCAAATCTTGGCCCAGCTGCCTTAACTCAGGAGCTGTAGAAGTGCTGCATTTGGCCTCATACAAGCGTCACTAAGCATTTGGCACCAGGCTGCCAACCCAGAAGACATCCTGGCAGGATGAACAGCAGCACTGGTATGCCTTTGCTGAAAACGAGTGCTGTTTCCTTTAACTAGCTTGACCTGGCTTTCTGAACCTGAGGTACGGGTTGGCTTTTTTACCTGTGCGCATCGACAGAGGCTCCGTGGGTCCAGGAAGGAAAAGATGTATAAAGACAGGACTCTAGGAAGCCTTGTGGTAAAATCTAGAGCCTCGGTGGGGACTCGATCCTGTAGCTGCTTGGTACAGAATTTCTGCTGTGACGGGGAGCAGCGTTCTAACAGGTCCACCAGGATCCTCCGCCTCTGACTGTCTGTCCACTTGTCAAACTGAAAAAAGGAGTTTCAGGTTCTGAGAAACTGGAGATTCAGCTTCTTAAAATAAAGCACACATTTAAGGCAAGGGAAAGTGCATAAGCAGCAGCTTCTGGTGACTCACTCAAGAGCAAAGCACGTAGGAACTGGGAACAAATGGAGAGGCTACATTAAAAGAAACTCTGAAGCCACACAACATATGATTTATAATCCTCAAAGCATCCAGGATGGCCTAGTCCAGGACACACTCATGCCTACAAGATTGTCTGCTCCTGGGACCAGCTCCGAGACTTGGCGTCACTCATGGAAAGGAGGAGACTCATATGTGTGTTTACAGGATCAAGTTCCAAATTACAATGAGTTCACTGCTGATTCCTCGTCTATCCTGACACTTCTATGGCCCCACAACTGCAATATTTGAGTGCCTCACAGTTTGTGAAGTATTTATTCTCAAGTCCCACTGCATAGGAGGGAAATCCCCACTACAGAGAAGTGGAGCAAAGAGAAACTACATCAGCTGCCCAGGTCTCACGCGGAAAATCTGCGGCACAGATCCGGCAGCACAGCAACAAAGATTTTTCACAGCATTTCTACGCTTATGACGGGTGTCTAAAGAGGAAGATCAGGACGGTTGTGGGAAGAAATGAGCGCTTAGGTAACCACACAAGCACGTATCGCTTTGCCACGACGGCAGCAACAAGGCTGCACGGAGCGGAGTGGGGCAGAGCTGTGTAAACAGGGTGGGAGCATCGGTGGCGGTAGCTGGTGTTTAACTTGTGTTGATAGCAGAGGA